AAATTTTTCGGTGACAGTTATGAACGCCGTCCGCGATTCGACGCGATAATAATAACTGACTTACATGTATGCTTTGTCGTAGGTACCTATTAAATACATCACAGTTTGGTTGAGGTTGAGTTGTTGGTAATATTATGAATAACATATTGATATATATATATATATATATTATGTGCTATTTATTATATACATGTATCTTTATACCTATTGATATATTTATATAATATCATTTTATAAAAATATATATATATTATACTATGTAGTAGGTACTTAATGTATTACAGTTTTTAGGTGAGTCAAATTATGTATATTAAAAATATAATCTAATGTGTTTAATTAAATTATATGACTATGCTATAACTATTTAATAAATAATAATAATAATAAATATTTAGTTAACACTGCTACAGATTATAAATACTATTTGATATAATATTTATAAACTAATAGATCTAATTGAAATGATTAAATTCTGGTAGTTAAATTGTACAATTATTATAATATACCTAACTACTCTCTTTGATATTATTTATATGGATAGGTTTGATCGTTTGATGTAGTAGATATTTAATATATAACTTAACGTATTTAAATATTACTATACTTATTAAACTATTTAATAAATAATAATAATAAATATTTAATTTACACTTGATTTTATCCAACGCACATATATGTTTCCTTTATACTTCAATAAACAATAGTGCAAGTACAATTTAACTACTAACCTAGGTACATGTATACTTTGTAGTAGGTACCTACTTAATATATCACAGTTTGGTTGAGGTACGATACAAATACTGCTGCAGATAGTATATAATACCATAGATTAAATATACTATAGATAGCCCACGAGTATATGTGATATGGAAACACACACATTGATAGCACAACGTCTCAATAGATAGCGCACGCAGTTGTAAATTGAAATATCGAAAAATAAATCACTATTAAAATCAATTAGACAGGGAATGATTTTCTGTGCGGGGGACACGGCCGGCGTTATCGTGCGATATGCCGATATGCCCGTTTATACTAAAAATAAATTACAATACGGAATAAAATATGAATAATGAAATAATAATTAATATTAATAGGTACGAACAATCGTCAACGCTCACAAACAACTCTATGTCTCTATAGAGGCTGACGGCTGTAAACAAAAATCTATTTTAATGCCTATTCCAGAAATACATGCATAATAATAATATAACGTAAATATCAATATGATACAAAACAACGACAATAATATTATGACATTATTATTTATAATATTCAAACATTCACAAATCAGTAAACCACAAGTTACAATTCTGTGAGCGCAGCGAAGGCAAAATTGCCAACTCTTTCGTCAATTTATATTTCACTAATTATTAATATCATCATGGCTACGAAAGGTAATAAATGTATGTTTTTTAACTGTGGCAAAAGTAAACGGAATGATAAAAATACCAAGTTATTCCGTTTTCCCAAAAATCAAGACCAGGCAAAAGAATGGGTTAAGCAGTCAGGTTAGTTCAATTAAAATCGAATTTAAAAATTAAATTATTATTCTTTTTAAAAATTAAAAAATGTATAAATCAATACATTTAATTTGTAAGTATTTTATATAATATACCAGTGCTCGAATTGGAAAAATAAAAGAAAGGGGACTCTATATTATCTAAATTTGAGTAATGGACAAATGATTAATCTCAACGTAACTCGTGGGGGCGAAGCCCCACACCCCCCTACCACCACTCACCAGCATCAACATTAGAAAATAAATAATACACCAATGACATTAACAACAATCAGTAAATATTATTTTACTTCTCATAATCTCATTTATTAAAATAAAAATGAATGTTACACATTATTAAATGACGTATAAGATAGGCGATTACGATAAAACGGGCCGAATGACGTCCCGCGTCTTTTTTCAATTACTCAAAACTTATTATCAACTATAAACAAAAACCATACATTTAATTTTAATATCTTATTAAATCGGTATACAACTTCACGAAGACACGAAATAAAAAACACAATATTATTTCAACAAAATAAAACGTTTAACCCCGTTCTAAAGGAGATAATTAGAAGGGGTGCGCTCAAAATATAAAAAAAATTGAAATGGAGCTGCGCCCCCCCCCCAATTCGAGCACTAAAATATACTGAGTATATTTCATTTTTAATGTCATAAACAAATATCGCGTTAAAAATGAATTTAAAAACATGTTTGAGCGTTCAAAGAATATGGTTTAATGAGTGGTTTTTTAGTAAAAATTTATGATCAAAATTAAAAATTTGAAGTCTTATTTCTCATAACTTAAATTTTTAAATCCTAAAAATTACTTAAAAAAAGATTTAAAAAAAGGTGGGCAAGTGGGTGTCGCTCTGCTGTACAGTAGGTTACAAGTGGGTCACTGTATAATGGATGATATTAAATTTGAATTCAACGATATAATATCATTGTATAAGAAAAACGATTCTGAGCGGAGACGGTATGTCAGTCTAGGTATAAGACATATTATATACATATCTATGTTACTAAACTAAAATTTGACCTATAATAGGTACCTATAATAAATTCCAAATTAATCATATCAGTTATCACAATATCCATTAGGTAGGTACTTATAACGCGTTATACATCAACAAAAACCGTGATACTATCATAGATATATAATAGTATAATTTAGAAGTTTCAAGTACTCACGAATAACATTATTCAATCACAAAAAATAACTAATATAGTTATTCTAGGTTTTTTATATGTAATTTCGTCCAAATTTGAATTTAAAATGTCTGTAAAAAATATCTGTGTTCATATATTTTTTAGATTTTTTGGTTACAGTATGAACTATTAATGAGAATCTTTGTTTTAAATTTGCAATCCTTAGATATAAAAACTGAATATTTTATAATTTATTATTTACAATGATTGATAATTTTCGAGATTTTGATAAATTTTGTCAAAATTCGATCTTTAAATGCTTATAAAAAAAAACTGTGCCTATGTATTTTTAATATTTTTCAACTGATATAGTAACAATATATCAGGAGCCTTGTATTACATTTTTACACTTTTGGCCCAACAGATAAAACTTTATTGATATATAAAGAAAAAAACTAACAAAAAATTGAAAGCTATAAATGTCCGTAAACAGTTCAAAAAGAGTCAAAATATTTTCAAAATTGTATGGTGTATAGGAAATGCTAATATTAACATTCAGTGAAATTTTCATGTATTTATTGTTATTCGTTTTTGAATTACAACAAAAAAAGAAAATCGCTACATGATAAATCGAGTGAATATCCAATGTTGTAAAAATTTTAATTTCAAACGCTCATAAAAATTTAATTTGACTGTCCGGTAGAGATTTTTTTATTGATAAAGGTAGACAAACTTATGAGTAATCTTGTATTACATTTTCAAATCTTAGATTTGAAAAAAAAAATTTTTACGAATTCTTAACTCAAAATAATTTGCTAATTTTCGTGATTTTTCCATATTTTGTCAATTTTTGAACTTTAAATGCTTATAAAAAAAAACTGTGACTAACGATTTTTGATATTTTTCATCTGCCTTTGAAACAATATACTAGGAGCCTTCTATTAAATTTTCAAGTTTTTTTAACCAACAAATAAAATTTTATTGATATTTCTAGAAAAAAAACTAAAAAAAAGGTGGGTAAGTGGATGTCGCTCTGCTGTACAGTAGGTTACAAGTGGGTCACTGTATAATGGATGCTTTTAAATTTGAATTCAATGATACAATATCATTGTATAAGAAAAACGATTCTGAGCGAAGACGGTATGTTAGTCTAGGTTTAAGACAAATTATATACATATCTATGGTATTAAACAAAAAATTGACCTAAAATAAATTCCAAATTAATCATATCACAATATCCATTAGGTACTTATAACACGTTATACACCAACAACAAACCCTGATACTATCATATATATATAATAGTACACTTTAGAAGTTTCAAGTAGGTACCCACGAATAATATTATATAATCACAACAAAATAACTAGGTTTTTTAATATGTAATTTCGTCCAAATTTGAACATAAAATGACTATAAAAATAAACTGTGATTGTATATTTTTTAGATTTTTCGGTAAGAGAATTAACTACTTACGTGGAATCTTGTTTTAAATTTTCAATCCTTAGCTATAAAAACTGAACATTTTATAATTTATTAATTACGATGATTAATAATTTTCGAGATTTTGAAAAATTCTATCAAAATTCGATGTTAACACGTTGATGGACATGACTGCTATAGCATTCACCAACTTTTGACCCCTTACTGGATCAGTTTAGTTTATTAAGTTCCATTTGTCCAATACTGTCGATGTTTATACACAAATGATCAGTACTTAAAAATAAATCGTTTTTTGAAAAAAAAACACTCAACTGCTATAGCATGGTATTGCCACCACGACTTAATTTTTTTTTTTTAAGTTGTACATGGGCATGAATGCTATAGCATGTTATTATTTTTTTTTTTACCAAGATGCACTAGCTTACCAAGATGGTAAACTGTATTCCCTAATATTATTAGGGAGATCCAAGATCATAGATAGAAATATTTGAAAGGATAAAATCCTTTTTTTATGGTATACAAATTATATTGTTATAAATATATTAGCTTATTAGCTGATAAGTAATACTTCCAACAAATCAATAGTAGTAAATTTAATAAAACAAAAAAAAATTAGTATATTGCATAAGAGTTAGTGTCCACTAAATCATACTAAATACAATTTTTAAAATAATAGTAACAATTTAAAACATGACAACAAACATAACAATTTCAACTTTTCTCACTTTTTTTTCCTATTACTATAAAAACAAAATTAAATCTCATATACTAAATAGCTTTCTTGCTGTGACAATAGTCCATATAAAATGTATAACATAAACATAAAAATTTAAAATTTAAAAAAATTAAAAATCAGCTTCTAAAATAGGCTTATAGATGACAAATCAGTCTTAGAAACCTATGCAACACTATGATAATCTAAAAAACAAGGCCCAGGACACAAAGGTGGTTTTTCAGGACAGTTCTTACACCTCCATGAAGTCTGTTTCACTTGTTTTTGGCTTGTACATTGTCTACATCTTAAGTAATACCCTTTTCTCTTCCAACCTGAAATAATATTCCAAATTTTTAGTTTTAAATCTTTTATAATTATAATAAAAATATAATACCTGGAGGATGAGGTATTTTTTCTTGTACATGTTCTAATACCACTGATGTGTTTCTTGGTTTATCAGATGTCCTTATTCTGATGTTTTTTTTATTTACCAATTGACTGCCATGTACAATATTTTCGGGTAAATGAAGAAGTTTTGTTATTACAGATGAGTGGAAATCAATATAACGAAGGTTTATATTGTTCAATTTTTTTTTATATAAATAATATGCATTCCACATAGATATATCTAGCAAGTGAAAAATTACTTTTTTGTACCATCGAATTGTTTTTTTTGGTGATGAATAATAACTCACCATTTGGTCACTTCTATCAATACCAGACATATTTTTATTATACTCAACAATATGTCTGGGCTTTGTACTTTGTTGTTGACAAAATCTATTAGATGTAATTACCATTTCTGGATGATGACCAGTGGTTATAGAAAACACTTCTCTCTTATCCTTCCAACGACTGACATAAACTGGTCCTTTTTTTGCAAAACAATGATCTCCTTTTTTTAATTTCAAAGTTTTTTTAACAATTGATGTAGGATTGTTTTTCCTATTTGATCGAAGTGTTCCAGTTGTGTGAGTTCTTTGTTTATACAATATGTTTGATAAATTGACTGAATTATAATAATTGTCCATGTAAAGATGATGTCCCTTATTCAAGTATGGTTTAACTAGTCTTAAAACCAAATCATTAATTTTTGAATTACCTGTTACTTCAACATTTTTCCCTTTATATATTTCAATATTAAGTACATAGCCATCTGGTGAGCATAGTTCATAGAACTTGATACCATATTTATGTTTTTTATTTTTAATGTACTGCCTAAATATTAGTCGCCCACGCCAAAGCAGCATAGATTCATCCAAGGACAAGGCTTCTTCTGGACTAAAGCTGTCTTGAAATTTTTTTATAAGTTTGTTCATTAAAACTGTAACTTTATATAATCTATCTCTGGTGTTTAGGTTTAAACCTTCTGAACAGTTCAGAGATCTCAAAATTTTTTCAAACTTTCTACCTGACATTGTTGCATTAAAAATTGGATGATAGTATAAGGGATTAGAACTAAAAGCATTTCTTAATACTGGAAGTTTTAGCTGACCTCTCAATAAACAAAGACCGAAAAACTTTTCCAGATCTTCTCGAGTAACTGGACTTACATTCTTCAATCTGCCATATTTTGTGTGCGGACGATTTAAAGAATTTATTTTTTTTTGGTAATTATTAGTGCAAGTAAGAATTAAATCAAAAATATCATCATCCCATATTTTTAAGAATACATCAATTGGTGAAGAATCATCGTTTATTTCAATTTTTATTCCTGCACTATTATTATCAAAATTAAAATCTTCAATTTCATCGAGTTTGTTTTCTTCCCAGTCACTTACATCAGATTCATCATCACTACTAAAACTTTGAATACTAACATCACTTACTGGTTCATTTACTGGTCTAAAATTTATATTTTGATCGAAAGAAACATTGTTGTCACTGGAATTGGATGGAGTAGTCGTATGGTCCACATCACTATCTGTTATTATCGAATTTCCATCACTTCTTTCAGATGCTTCATAATCAGAGTCAATATATGAGTCATCTGACATAGATATCCCTTCTAAAATGTAAAGTTGAAACACCATGATACAACTAGGTAGGTAGTTATATTTATTTGGAAGAGATTTATTGATTGTTATTAATTACCTTCATCGATCCTGTCAAGCATTTCCAATATATCATTTTCATTATTCATAATTTCTGTACAGTTTGAAATGATAAATTAATAATAATAAGAATGCAACTTTTTTTAGAAAAATTAATAAAAGAACCTATCCTATTTACGTTGTTCGTATACGTTATTTTATATTTTGAATATATGATAACACAATTTTGAAAGAATAATATTTTATCATAAGATAACAAGATTTGCCGAACCAGCGCACGTGATATAAGTGTTCTTAAACATGTTATAAACCATATGATAAAACAAATAATACCATAACCTAAAAATATAAGGCACAAACCGCGTTTTAGAATTTGAATGCTATGGCAGTCATGCGAACGTACTACTTAAAAATCATGAATGCTATAGCATGTGCTGTCCATCAACGTGTTAAAATGCTTATAAAAAAAAATTGTGCCTATGTATTTTTAATATTTTTCAACTGATATTGTAACAATATATCAGGAGCCTTGTATTAAATTTTTACACTTTTTGGCCCAACAGATAAAACTTAATTGATATTTATAGAAAAAAAAAACTAAAAAAATTGAAAACTGAAAATGTCCGTAAACGGCTCAAAAAGTGTCAAAATATTTTCAAAATTGTAGGGTGTATAGGAAATGCTAATATAAACATTCAGTGAAATTTTCATGTATCTACAGTAATTCGTTTTTTAATTACAACAAAAAAAGGAAATTGCCACATGAGAAATCGAGTGAATATCCAATGTTGTAAAAATTTGAATTTCAAACGCTCATAAAAATTTAATTTGACTTTCCGGTAGAAATTTTTTTATTGATAAAGGTAGACAATCTTACGAGTAATCTTGTATTAGATTTTCAAATCTTAGATTTAAAAAGAAAAATTTTTACGAATTCTTAACTCAAAATAATTTGCTAATTTTCGTGATTTTTCCATATTTTGTCAATTTTTGAACTTTAAATAATTATAAAAAAAAATTGTGACTAAGGATTTTTAATATTTTTCATCTGCCTTTGAAACAACATATTAGGAGCCTTCTATTAAATTTTCAAGCTTTCGCAACCAACAAATAAAATTTTATTGATATTTTTAGAAAAAAAACTAAAAAAAAATGGAAAATGAAAATGTCCCTAAACAGTTCAAAATAAATCAAAATATTTTGAAAATGTTATCGTGTATAGAAAATGCAAATATAAACAACCAGTGAAAATGTCATGTATCTACGGACATTTGTTTTAAAGTTACACCAAAAACCAGAATCGATTTTTTGGAAAACCGATTTTGCGTAAAAATTCCCCTTTTTTCCTTAATTTTTCTTTTGTTTTTCTTGGCGCTTTTGAAAAGTACTGGGAATTTTAAATTTTGACCTCCCCAATGCACCAACGATATTCACTTTCCAATCGAACCAGATACTGAAGTCAAAAATCGAATCATTATTTCGACTACTTATCGTGTACACAGACACAAAAATAAAAAAAAAAAAATAAAAAAAAAATATATAAAAACACACATCATTGTAAAATCAATACATTCATCGTTCCACTCAGAATCTAAAACGGGTATTTTTGATCATGAAATAATTTTAATTTTTAACGCTATTTTTGTTTGTGATACAAGCATGACGGAGACAACATACGTATGCGGGTACCACGTCCTCTTAAACATATAATTAAAATTTAACGAATGTAGTAGATAGAAAAATACACCAATACCCTAAATTGAAATATTTCCCCAATTTTTCTGACTTTAATATTTTATCTGTAGGGAATATTAAATTGGTGGATTTAACGTTAGAACAACTGAATAACCGCCATGTATGTAATTTACATTTTAAACCCACGGATTTTAATAATATTGAAACACAACAAAGACTAAAACAAAAAGCAGTTCCAATGAAGTTCGATTTTACTGAATTACCAGTTAATGTGGAACAATACATTCCAATTTCATCTTTTAACGAATTTAAAGACTGCAAATCACCAAATTTACACGTTAAAACTCCAACCAAAATGTACAAAAAAAAATGTCCAAGAACATCTATCGAATCTCCTCATCTTCCAGCTACATTAAATGCATCACCGTCTTCGCCAATTTTAACTTATGAATGTTCTCCGTCAACAAGTTCTATGATCAAATCATTTATAGATATGCCTTCGCCAATTAGTACTCAAGAACGTCGATTAAACAAGGCAAAAACAGTTCTCTTTCCTATCGAACAAAGCCCAAAAAAGTCAAAAAAACATCTTGAAGACTTAATTCGAAAAAAAAATATACTGTTAAAAAATAAATCATCTACTATAAGTAAATTAAAAAAAAAAATACAAGTTTCTCGTAATAAATATAATTTACATACTTTTAAAAATAATATTAAATTTTCAAGTTTTGGATCAAAAGTCATAGCAGAAATGCAAATGTTTCATAAACGTAATTCAAGGAAACCCTGGACACTAGCTGAAAAAAATTTTGCTATAAATTTATACTATAAATCACCTGCTACATACAAATTTCTTAGAAATAACCAACAAATAATTTTACCAGGTGAAACTACGTTACGTAGGTGGATAGGGAAGTCTAAATTTTGTCCCGGTTTTAATTCACTCTGGTTAAAGCAAATTAAAAATAAGTTGGAAACAATGTCAGATGAAGAAAAACACTGTGTTTTAATATTTGATGAAATGAAAATAAAATCTTTTTTAGAATATTCTAAGTATTTAGATATGGTTGAAGGGTTTGAAGATTTAGGACACAAAGGTAGAACGAATAAATTGGCTACGCAGGCCATGGTTTTTGTTGTTCGAGGACTTTATAGTAATTGGAAATTACCATTGGCTTATTTTTTATCGGGTTCATCAATGAGTAGTTCAATATTAAAAGATTTAATTGTAGATGTAATCGAAAAATGTACAGATCTGGGTTTTAATATTGTGGCTCTCGTTTGTGATCAAGGCTCCAATAATTATTCAGCTCTAAAACACTTAGGTTGTTGCAAAGAAAAACCATTTGTTGAAATTAAAGGTAAAACTATTTATTCTATTTTTGATGTACCGCATATTTTCAAAAATTTCAGAAACAATTTTTTGAAATATAATTTCAAATATAAAGGTCAAGAAGTATCTTTTTCAGATATTAAGTTGGCTTATAATATTGATAAAACAAGTAATACTAGTAGAGCCCTTTTAAAACTAACTGACAGTCATATGAACCCAAATCCGTTTCAAAAAATGAATTGTAAACTTGCTCTTCAAGTCTTTAGTAATTCAGTAGCAGCTGTTTTAAAAACATGCATTGCTACAGGTCAAATAAAATCAAAAACTGCCGCCGCAACCGCTGATTTTGTTCAAGAATTAAATAATTTATTCGACTGCCTAAATAGCAAAGCATTATACAGTTCCAACATATACTCTTGTGCTTTAAATGACGACAAACCTTATATACTTAATTGTTTAATGAAAGCTAAAGAATGGTGTACACAGCTGGAGTTAATACAGCCTATAAAAGTGTATGGTAAAGTTCTTCCGTGTTTCGACGCCATGATATGGAGCATAAACGCAATCATAATGATTTATAGACAACAAAAAAATTTAGGTTTTAAATATCTTCTTACTTGCCGTTTAAACCAAGATATCATAGAAAATACTTTTTCGGTTTTTCGACAGCGTGGAGGTTTCAATAGAAACCCGACTGCTCGTACCTTTAGAACATCATTTCGGTTTCAAGCAAAACATAATCTCATGAAAGCCACTGAGTCATCAAATTGTGAAAATTATTTTGATTACAATTTATTTGATCCTGGTTCACAGAACGCAACGATTTCTACACCTAACACAGATATAGATACTTTAGTTGAATCAGTTTCAGACTCATTTGTATCTTCGGAAGAGGAGGGTAATTTCAATCAATGTCTCAATAATAAAGAAGAAGAAATAACATTAGAAACCTGTTCAAATACATACTTTGCTGGATATTTGGCCAAAAAATGTATAGATCAATTTAAATGCACTAAATGTGAATCAATAATTTTAAAAAGTAACGATTTTTTGTTTGATGACCAAGAGTATTTAATTTTTTACAAACAATTTGAAAGTGCCGATATTGAAAGAAGTAGTCTCAAAAAGCCTTCTGATTTATTTATAAACTTTGTTTCTACAGCACAAAAGTGTTTAAAAGATTTTGTAGAACTAAATCCTCATAAAAGAAAATTGTGTGCAACCATCCAACTAAAAATAAAAAATGAATTGATTTCTGATTTAAATTTTGATCCAAACTGTGATCAACATATTGATTTTATTATCCAAAAATTAATAATTTGTAAATTATTAAGGCATTTTAATTGGACATCTAAACATTTGAAAGGACGTTCTAGTGTACAAACAGTGAATAAATTAAAAATTTTGAAAAATGTTTAAGCTTAACATAATATTATGTAAGTACCTAATTTATTAGTTGGCATGTAAATAGGTATGTTATAATAAAATGGTGTTGCCCGGTGTTGGTGCATATTATATGTATATGTGCGTATTAATTGTATTATTTTTTTTAGTTCTGATAGGTAAGGTTTTCTTTTATTTTGCAGTGTTAAAATTGTATGGTTTTACGATGTATTATTTTTCTTCATTTAACTTTGTAAAAAAATATTTACCTAGGTATACGTATGGTTAAAATATTTTATGAAAAAAAATAATATTTGATTTGTACAATTGTTTGGTAATTGTTAATTATTATAATTATTACTAATATTGTCCTTAGAACTTTTTATAAAGATTTTAATATAAAGATATTTTAAACAATTTTTACTGTATTTTATAAAATGTAAAATATTATATTAGCTTTTAAGTTATATAACTATACCTTTTATTATACTTATAAAATTATAAAGGAATATTTTTTTACTACAACAATAATTTTAAGATTTTATAATTATGTAACATTTTTACTTGTTTTATAAAATAAAATTAGGTACTCAAATTACCCCTTTTATGAAAAAAATAATAATGTTGTTTTGGATTTTAACAACTAACTAGGTAAGTACTTAATAAAGATAAATTATAAATCTGTAGGTAATTGCAGAATATTGTATTAATATAATACCTATTACCTATAATATTTGTATTTTAATATCTGTGGTCACTTGTTAAAGTCTATCGATGTATATGTTACAAAGAATACATAGAAATTAATTTGTTTATAATTATAAATAATATTTTAATAATATTATGTTAGTTGCCGCCGTTCACGTACCTATAACGTATCATAGATGCCAGTCTCGCAACGCGGCGCGCCAGTATATTGCTTTTTAAAGTGTTTCAACTCGGCGCACGGCTTTGACGTCAGCGCATGCGCAAATCTATAAGACGTTAGCGATCTATGGGCGTCCATTAGTACTACTCTGCCGGGGTCCAAAACGTGTGCATATCTGGTTGCCGCGTTATTACATGGCGTGGGCTATCTATAGTATATTTAATCTATGATAATACTCTGATAGTTAAATTGTATTTGACATAATTTGTTATTGCTCAAAATATAGGTAGGTCTATATTGTATATTAATTTAATTATGAGTTTCAAATTAATAAATTATGAATAACAAATTGATATATATACATTATGTACTATTTATTATATAGATGTATGTTTATACCTAATGATATAAACATATAATTTAAGCATAATATTATGTATGTACAAAGTGAAATCAGTACATATTTTGGTCCATTGGTCTAAAAGTTTAAATGAAGTACTATTTACTATTAATTATATCATTGGTATTGGTTGGTATTGGTTGGTTATATATATTATATGTCTTTTTCTAATAGTTTGCATTGTGTGTTAAACGGTATAGTGTTATAATATATGAACTGGGCATATTGTAATATGTAAAAATTGAATTCGAAGAAGTAATAGTGAAATTGGTAAATAAGGTAGTTGGTCATAGGTTAGTACTCCATGAGTAGGTACATAACATTGATGGACTAATAGAAAGTAACTAAGTATTGGAAACAGAGGATTTCACTTCTAAGTATATAATAACAAATTATAAATATATATATATATATATATATATATATATATATATATATATATATATATATATATATATATATAATATACTATGTAGTAGGTACTAAATTTTTAGGTGATATTAAAAATATGAATTATATGAATTTAGTCATATCATATGACTATACTAAAAGTATTTAATAAATATTTATTTATAATAAGTATTTAGTTAATACTTGACACATTTACCATGAACAACGCACCTATATTTTTCAAATAGTATATAATACTCTGATGGTTCAATTGTATAATGATGTCTATTCGTTTCAGGAACATGCGTCAGGTGTGGCTGGCAGAAAGAGCCCTAGCCGATCCCGCAGCTGTACCACCTAGACCAGTCAGGATGCATTTTGTCGAAGATGTGGCCCGGGATAGGGGCCGGAACAACCTGCCAACCGCAAATGAAGTTGCGGCCGTGTTCGTTGGTGAAGGTGGTCTTCCTCCCAGACACATCAATCTGGTCATCTACGACACCAATCCAATCGACCAGCAACGGAGTACGCAATTCATACCAGCAGGTTAGTTAATTAATATTTAACACTTACAATATTTACCTTACACTAGGAATGAACTACTTCCTCTTCGACTTTTGTATACCTCACACACACACACACACACACACACACACACTTCAACCCTTTTACTTGTGCAGTAATACTTATTACATTAGCAATTTCAGTTTGTTGTGTGATAAAACAAAAGCCATTACATTATTATACATTAAGTTGAATAAATTATTTTCATACAATTGTAGTGATAGTATGACAATAAGTTACATTAATCAAATCTATAGTTCCATTACTTCAATTCTTAATTCACTGTTCCCTTTTTCATTCAATTAATAACTAACATCACTTAGAATTATTAACATAGAACCTCAAAATTCATATTTTAGATTATTTTATAAATTACCTTTCTTAAAACATTATGTACCTGCTATACACATAACACAATCATAATAAATAAAGAATTCACAGTTAAATTACATCCCATCACATAGAATCATGGTACAGTAAATATCCGACCATACATACATTCTGGACATTCTTTTGAAATTTAATTTGTTATTTACTAATTAACTGGGGCAAAACCTACATACATAATAACACTTATTAAATTAACAGTGTACATTTATTGTGTTTGTGTATTATTTTCATAATTTTGTAGTGGTAGTGTTACAACAAGTAACATTAATCAAATCTTAAGTTACATTACTTCAATCCTTTGTGCTCTTATTTCAGAATTTGACTGATATCACTTACAGACATACACTATTAATATATTTTGTGGTTCTACAAAACATTATGTAGGTACTTGCTATACACACAACACAATAATAATAATAAAAAAATAGATATAAATAACTACTAAATAGAGTTAAGGAATTATAGTTTCGTATAGATTCATATTTTTCATTTCTCAGTATGTAATATACTTAATAACTAATAGCACTTACAATATTATAGCCGATATAATATTAGAGTTAATATTTTCAATACATTATTTCATACCTTTCTTTGGCGATTCTACAAATTGTGTATTCACAACACAAACGTATCTCAATAAACCAACTCTCAGCTACTACAGACCTTTGGTTTAACTTAAAGTTTATTATATTTCTCAAGGTTCGTGTCACTCGGATCCCATGTTGTATCCGCTGTTTTTCCCGTACGGCGAGGCCGGTTGGCATAACGGGATGTTGCAAGAGGGCCCTCGACGAAACAATGTCCGCAGTCGAAACACTATAAGAGAGTTCGCGTGCTACCGTTTGGGCATTCGATATGAGGGAAACAACGACACGAGGCACCAACTGTTCAGCTCAATACATCAAGGCCGGTCCTTGTTGCACATGTTTGTGTGCGACCACTACGTTCAGATGGAAACCAACAATCTGAACTACATACGTGAGAATCAGAGGGATCTCCTTACCGAAGCGTATCAAGGGCTCGTGGACCATGTAAACCAACACCTCAACATCGAACCTATGGCGGTCGGCCGTAGGATCATTTTGCCGTCGACGTTCGTGGGCAGCGACCGATACAACAAGATGTGTTATCAAGACGCTATGACCATGGTCCGTAGCAAAGGAAAACCCGACCTGTTCATAACGTTTACGTGCAATCCCAGGTGGCCGGAGATAACAGAAAACCTGGCGGCTCACAGCAATGCAAACGACAGGCCCGACCTGGCGGCCAGGGTGTTCAACAGAAAACTGCAGGAGCTACTAGGTGACCTGACTGTTAATCGTGTGTTTGGTAATGTAGCCGCTTACGTATATACTATTGAGTTTCAGAAACGCGGTCTGCCCCATGCGCACATACTGGTAATCCTGGAGGAGGATCATAAGTTCCGCACGGCGGCAGACGTCGACGACGTAGTTTGCGTCTTCTTGCCGGACCCGGAGACCGACAGGCGCTTACACGACTGCGTGAAGTCCCACATGATACACGGACCGTGTGGAACAGTCAACCCGCAGTGTCCGTGCATGGTGAACAACAGCTGCTCAAAAGATTTAACCAAAGCGTACGCAGAGGAGACTGTGTACGTTGCGGACGGCGGCTATCCAAAGTACCGCCGACCGGACGACGGCCGGTTGGTACTTGTGAGAGGTCGTGAAGTCGGTAACGAGTGTGTAGTGCCATACAACCCTTACCTTCTGGCCAAGTACGACGCACACATCAACGTCGAGATCTGCACGTCCATAAAGAGCGTCATGTATATCTACAAGTATATATACAAAGGACACGACCGTGTGACATTGGAGGTCGAGGAGGAAGATGAAATCGCCAAGTGAGTCTTGACCTTACATTATAATTATGTAATTTCTAAAATTAAACTTGCAAATATAATACTATATAATGTTTACATGTGGATGGTATAATGATTATAATGGTGGATTGTATACTTTAGTGTGTTCAGTGTCAGTATGTATGAATTATTTACTACTTTTTAGGGCAGTTGTATACATTCACCAATACCTTTAAGTTTTTATATTATATTATGTGGCTTGGTACAAGAAGGGCCAATGTCATATTTTGACAATGTTCAGGAATTCAATCTTAAATTTCATTTTGGAACCCTAAATTTGTTTTTATTTCATTGTAGGACTCTCATTTTGTTGTACGTTTTAGTTTGACATACCTGACTAACCTAACCCAGAGAAATTAATAAAATTACTTTGGTTTTGACTAAAATTTAAAATTTAAGAAATCTTTATAAACTTTCTATTGCATACAGTACTACACATCAGTTAAATAAATCATATTATTAATAACATATATAATTTATACATGTGTATGGTATAATGATTGTTATTGTGGATTTTATACGTTTATTTAGTGTGTTCAGTG